CCCGCCGCCAGCACGTACCCGGCGCCTGCTGCGCCGCTGGCCAATGGGTCTGGCGGCCCCCCGCCGTCGCTGCCGGGGGCGCCCGCGCTGCCGTCTCCCTTGCCGGGCGCGGCGGCGCCGTCGCTGTCGTCCTCCTCTGCGGCCACAGACCCGCTGAGCACGCTGCTTGGGAGCATGGGCGCAAACACCACGGTCCCTGCGCCTCCACCTGTCAGCCTCCTGGTCGGGACGCTCAGCGGCGGCCCCTCGCCCTTGCCCTCGACAGCGCCGGTGGCCTCGCTGCAGCCGCCGCAGCCGCCGTCCCCAGTGCTGGGGGCCGGCAACGGCACGCCGGCCGGGCGGCGGCGCGTCTTGGCGGTGCAGGCACCACCGCAGCAGCAGGAGCAGCTGGAGCAGCAGCAGCAGCATCTTGATGTACGCAGTACGCCGATCATCGCAGCAGCAGAGGCGCCGCCCCAGGACCAGCTCCCTGGCCTTGCAGCGCGCTTGGCGGCGTGGCGGGGACCTGCAGGTCATAGTGTCGGGCTGCCACCCAGCGGCGCCGCGCTCGCCGCGGCTGCACTCGCCGCGGCCGCGCTGGCCTCTGCGGCGTTCGCGCTGCGCAGGGCGTCGCGCCGCGGAGCGGGGGCTGGGGGCGGCCGTGAATGGGACCGCCGGTTCGGCGCCGGCGCGCCCCTGCTCGGCGGCCCGCCGAGGGGCGGCCCGCGCCGCGCGGCGCGCGCGTCCATGGCGAGCGGCATGTGTGGCCGATCTCACTCTGAGCCGCAGCCTCAGCGACAGCAGCAGCTGCAGCCGTTTGGCACCCCGGACGAGCATCTCTTGACCTTGCTGGCGAACGCCGACCCCCACCCCGGCGCCGCCGCCGGGGGCCCCCGCTTGCTGACCGTGTCGTCGGCGCCGGCGCCGGCGCCGGCGCCGGCGCCGCCCTCCGCGCGCGGCGCGCCATGGCTCCCGCTGCTGCGCGTCCCCAGGAGCGCGTCCATGTCGCGCGCGCTGCCGCACGCGTTTGAGCCGCCGGAGCAGCAGGGGCCGGCGCTGCGCGCATGGGGCAGCGACAGCGGCGGCGCACCGTTGTTGGAACGAGAGGAGCGGCGCGCCGGCGCGCTGGCGGCTCCATCCTCAGCCGGCTGCAGCCCTCGGCAGCCCTTCTCGTCCGGCGGGGCGCTCGCAGCCTGGGTCCCCGGCATCGCCGCGGCCGGCGCCACCGCTGCAGACGGTGCCCTCGGGCGGCGGCCGGCCCTCTCGCGCGCGGCGTCCGCGACCGAAGCGCCGCGGCACGCTGGCGGGGTCGGCGGCGAGCGGCGGTCCGGCGCATGGTGACGCCTTGCACCTGCTGCCTGCGGTGCTGCACCTTGTCCCCGCCCCAATGCATGACGCGCCGCGGCGCTGCCAAACACTCCGCAGGCTTGGCTCAACCTCAATACCTTGTTTCGTTCAGAAGCGCTGCTTTGCGCGCTGCCATACTTTGGGATGCGGGGGGTCGTGTGCACCTGCCCCTGCCAGGGCAAGTCAACCGCCGCCGCCGCCCCTTGCCGTTGCTGCGGTGGCTCTGCTCGCCTGGCGCGCGGAGAGGAGGCGTCGCCGGCGGCTCGCCCGCCGCCGCGCAGAGCTCCGCCGCCTACGTGCAGCGAGCGCCGCGATTGAGAACTGCGGACGAATTATTGTTGTTGTGTGGACAAGCATTGCGCAGCGGGCTTCCGCCTGGGCAAAGCTTTCCCGGGACGCATCTCTTCTGACAAATAGGGCTGATACTCGTGCATAGGAGCAGCCCCAGGTGCTGCAGCGGGGCCCCTTTGCGCGCCTGCCTACGGCTCCATTCGATGGTTGTTGCGTAGCGCGTGCAGGGCAACCTGCGTCGCTGCGTGCTTGGAGGCTGCCGCCGCCCGGCTCGGCGCCGCGGCCTTCGCTTGGGTTTGGCTTTGTGCGCTGCATTTGGGTGCGGCCGCGCAGGCGCTGCTGTTCGCAGTGACGATCTGCTGCGCGCGCCCTGCGCGGGGCCAGCCATTCGCGCGCGATATGCGGAGCGTCTGGACTGCTGCCTTACTTCAGCAAGGGGTGGGGCTCTCCTGCCTCCACACCACCACAAACGTTGCGCCGGCATCCCCATCTTTACTCTGGAGACAACATACGTAATTGCTACAGTCGCTTGCCCGCCCATCTGCAGCCGCCCACCCGTGCCGCTTCACACAGCTGTGCTGGGCAGCCCACGTCTCACGCGCTGTGCCTCAACCCCCCCCCCTGGCCAAGCAGCCGCCCGCCTCGCACGGCGTGAGCGCGCAAACCAACCCGGCGCCGACGCTCCACTGCCCCTTGCTGGCTGGTTGCTTGCTGTGACGCGTTGACGGCGGCTTCCGGTGCTACCCCGCAACTTGCGTGCACACGTGTGCTTGCGCGCGCGTGGCGGAATGCAAGCCCGAAAGCCTTGGGACCGCTGCTCACATGGCCCGCACTCCTCAACCACAACAGCTGGCGCACCAACGCTTACACAGCACCACGCATGCACACGCCGGACCCCCCAACAACCGGGTTCACGTCGGAGCGCCTGCGCGCGAGCTCTCACGCGCGCTGCCAGCCGCCGATCATCTCTTAGTGCCCGCGTTCCTTCGCCGCCCGCTGAATGCCGCGCCCCTTGCCGGCGGCGACCCATTTCTTTGCGGCTGGCTCTGCCACACGCCCGGCTCCCGCCGCGGCGCTGCAGGTAGGCGCCCTGATTGTTGGTCGTGTATGTCAGCGTTGTAACACTCAGGACTTTCCGCTGCTGCAGGTTTCTGCTGTAGTTGCGCAGCAGTGGTGGGGCCAAAAGCGGGGCGGCAGCAACGGCAAGGCGAGGCGCATGTGGCACCAGAGGTTTGTGAATTGTGTGCGGCTGCGCGTGCTGCACAGAAAGGTGGTGCAGGGTTTGTCGCGAGGCTGACACCCCTGGGGGCGCGGCGGCAGCGGCGCTCACGCCTGGCAGCGTCCCCCGCTCGCGTCTGCGCCGGCCATGCGGCCTCAAGCCGCTGCTGCGGCGGCTTTAAACCCTGCCCCTGGCCACGGACTCGATTATACGGCAGTAATCAATCCTCATGTGTGGCCAGAACTGTAATCCAGCCCCTGTGTTACTCAATCAGGATGCCCCCTGCCGCATCACAGCGCCCTCTTGACCCACACATTCACCCACACATCACCCCAAGGTCACAACGATAGCGCTGCCCCGCCCGCCCCATCC